GGTTGAGCCTATAAATTGATTGTATTGATAGTTATTTCACTCATCGGTTGAGACCTATGAAATATAATCCATATCATTGCCCGAGATTTATTGGGTATCAAAACCCAACAGTGAGCTCATTGTTCTTCGTTCGATTTCACCTTCATAACTTGGTACTTCGAATTCAGCAAGGCAGATTTTACAAACTCTGCCTAGTTTCAAAAGGCTAGTTTTGAAGATTTCAAGTTTTCTTGGAGTCTTATGTTTCGGCTGGAAGGCTTTAAGCTTAAATTCGGCCAGCAGCTTATGCATGGTTCTTGAAGTTTCGTGAAGGTTTTGGTGTTGCTTGAACTTAGATTTAGATGGTGGTACTGGTCAAATTCAATCTTCGGATTCAAGACAGTTGCTGTTGGGTTTTGCCCAACCTCATTAGTGGTTTGTTCTAAGCTAGAAGTTGCATTCCCCTTTGGTGATTTTGAAATTCTGTGCGCTTATATCGAATTTTGCCTCTTCACCTCGCAAATCGAACTAGACAACAGCTAAATTGGATTAAGTCTCAGCTAAATTGTGAATCAGTAAGCAGGCTGCCAGTTTTTGAGTGCTAAGTTCATATAGAATCATGTATGTTCTTGCCATTGTTCATGAAAAATGTTTTGTTCTTGAAGATTCATCTATGTATGGTCAGCAGGTTTTGATCTACGAATGAAGATTCAGGTTCATGGTTTGTTGTTTTTTACTCAATGGGGCAATAAATTAAGACTTTCGTATTTTCAAACTGCCCCTGCAGTAAAAAAGGATGGTTGACCGCTTTTACAGTCTTATGTTGCTTGTTTTGGCAAAAAAATTCAATTTTTTTGTACTTTGTTTTGGCCTAATTTCAAAAACTTTCCAAAATTGTTTTTGAATTCGGCCTATGCTTTTGTATGTCTGGCCTTGTACTCGGGCAGCATCACATTATCTTCGAATACAGCTATGTAGAATACATCAAATCAGTCCAGATTTGAAGATTATGTTTAAAGATCTTAACATCTTTCAAGCTGTGATTCACGGTCAGCATGGGTATGAACTTTATTGATAGATTCGT